TATTATATCATATTATCACACTGAACGAATATTTTACAGTCGGTGCAAAAATTGCAATTAATTGATTAATTGTGGCTACGCCACCAATCAATTAATTGAGTTCAAAATAATTGCAATTAATTGCCCCTACAATTAATTATTCGGTAGGCCTGGTGGTATATATGAAATATTCGATTTACTGATGATTAAAAATTAAAAGTGCGATTTAATAATGTTTACTAAGCATTTTCATTTCGTAAAAAAAAAATCTTGCAATTTTTTAAATGCTGTGTTCAACTAAACAAAAGCTTATCTGTTTTTAATTATTTATTGTTAAAAAACACTTAATAAAATTTGTTAAATATTACGTTCAACTAAACAAAAATTTATATGTTTCTGATTTATTTATTGTTAAAAAACTTTTTTTAATAAAAATTTGTAAGCGTATCAGAGTAATTAATCTAAAATAAAATTATTCATAGTTAACGATTTTACCTTAATTGTTATTTTTAAATTATGGCGCTTTGCAATAAAGTGTGATATCATGATGCATGATGATGATAAAGAGAAATCTCCGAGATTCTAATAGTGAATCAGATTTTGAGAATCTATATGAAATTATATGTTTTGATTAGTGATCGATATAAAAATAATTATTACATATTTATGATTAAATCAGTATAAAGCTATTATATATTTTTTTTTTTATATATTTCTCTTGATAAATAACTAAAATGGCCAATATTCAAGAAAGTATCATCGAGGAGCTTGTTTTAGTTGTCGAAAATGCATGTTTTGTGGAATTGATCTACAACAAGAAAAATGTAATTGTGACTTGTCTAATATGCTATATAGAGGTAACTGAACAGATACTGTAAAATATGCATTTACAAGAATCTTCAATCCGAATTGGACTAAAGAAAAAGTCGACTTTGTCCAGCAAAAAATAGAAGATTATAATTATTCATTAAGTTCAAAAGAATATTTTAATTTTACTTTGTGTGCTCGCTGCAATAGTAATTTGTTAAGATTATTCTCAAAAGCAAAAAAGACCCAAATACAAAATACTGTAATTGATCCGGAAATGGATACACATAATCTTACCATTCCAATTAGCGAAACTTCTGAACCAAAAGAAAAATGTTATTGGAAATCTAATAAAAAAGATTATAGTGAGAAGGAACTT